AAAAAAAAAAAAGATTTATTTGGGAGAAAGTGGCACAAACGGGGGGGAGGGGCAGAGGGAGAGGGAGAGAAAATCCCAAGCAGACCCCCCTGCTGAGCACGAAGCCGGGCCCTCGGGGCTCACTCTCATGACCCTGAGATCATGACCTGAGTCAAAATCAAGTCAGATGCTCAACCAACTGAACCACTCAGGTGCCTCTGACAACATTTCTCTTTTGATTATAGTCATCCTACTGAGTGAGAAGGGGTATCTCGAATGGTTTTGATTTGTATTTCCCTTATGCATAAAGATGTTGAGTTTCTTTTCATGTACCATTTGTGTATCTCTGTTGGAGAAATGTCTTTTCAGGTCCTTTGCCCATTTTTTAATTGGGTTATTTGTCTTTTTATTACTGAGTTGTAGGAGTTCTTTATAGATACATGTTCCATATCAGATATATGATCTGCAAGCATTTCTTCCATTCCTTTACTTTAAAACATTTTTTTATTGAAGTATAGTTGATACTCATTCCTTTACTTGTAATCTGTGTAATTACATTTTAGGTATATGTCTTATAAACAGGGTATAGCAGGATTTGTTATCTTAAGTCCAATCACAGAATCTCTATCTTTTAGCTGGCATGTTTGATCTCTTTACATTTATTGTAATAGCTAGATATTTGAATGTATTTCTACTCTCTTACTTTGTGCTTTATATTACCCTTGCCTTCTTTTTTCTCCTTTCCTGCTGTCTCTTGGATTGATCAGACTTTCTTTATATTTCTTTTTTCCCCCTTAACTCCTTTGGAAAGTTTATAGTCAATCCTATTTTATACTCTTAAGCTTTTAACATGTATCCCTCTTGAATAAGAGAAGGGCTGTGTGTAGCTCCACTCCCTTTCCATCTTCCATGTGTTTAGTTTCAACTTGTTTTCATTTCCCAAATTTGTTATAGTGCCTATTTCTAAATCTTTAATCCTTATTTAGATCTTACCATTCTTAGCAGTTTTGTGTTTGCTTCCTTGTTCATCATTGCTTCCTAAAGTGTCTTTTTTCCTAAAGTACACCCTTTAATGGTGCTTTCAGCAAATTTCTGTGTGTGGAAAATTCTCTCATTGTGTGTTATTTTTCCCTTTACTCTTGAATAATAGTTAGCAAAGCACAAGAGAGGATAGGGGTTTTCCCTCAGCACTTTTTTTTTTTTAAGTGGAGCCCAACACGAGGCTTGAACTCATGACCCAGAGATCAAGACCTGGGCCAGGATCAAAAGAGTCGGACGCTTAACTGACTGAGCCACCCAGGCGCCCCTTCCCTCAGCACTTTGAAGATGTGTATTCCCTGTGTATTCTGGCTTCCACTGTGCCGAGAAGGCTGCTCTCAAGGTAATTGTTGCTCCTTTGTGGGAAATCTGCCTTTTCTATCTTTCCTGACATGGTAAGACCACTTTTAAGATATTCTGTTTGTGTTTGGTCATGTGTGGTTTCACCACAATGAAATTTTTATTTCTCTTGCTTGTGACTGTGATTCTTAAAGCTAAGTATTCTGTCTTTCATTGGTTGTGAGAGAATTCTCAGTCATTCCCTCTTTGAGTATTGTCTTTGTCCCCATTATGTTTATTTTCTCCTGGCATTCCTACTACTCATCGATTCCTTCATTCATTCATTCAGCAAACTTGTATCGAAGGCCTGCTGTGTGTTGGGTGCTATCCTGAGTATTGGGGACACAAGCAATACACCAAAATAGCCACAGCCTTCACATCGAATTTGTATTCTAGTGGGGCAGGCAGGGCGATCAGCCATAAGCAGAAATATGTCTTTGTTCAACAACAGACTCCAAACGTGATGAAGAAAAGAAAGCAGGTACAAGGTTAGCCAAATACGGGGGCTGGTGTACCTTTCATGTCTTTTACTTCTTTTTTGCCTGTCTCTCTTGCACAGCTTTTTTTTTTTTTTTTAAGATTTTATTTATTTATTTGAGAGAGAGAGCGTGCGTGTGCCTGGTAGTGCACAGGCAGCAGGGGAGGGCAGGGAGAGGGGAACAAGCAGACTCCCCTTTGAGAGCAGAACCCGACATGGGGCTTGATCCCAGGACCCTGAGATCACGACCTGAGCCAAAGTCAGACTCTCAACAGACTGAGCCACCCAGGTGCCCCTCTGCAAGGCTTTTTGAGTTATCTTTAGATCTAGCTTCCTCTTCTTTCTTTATACTGTTTTGTTTCTTCATACTTCCCACTCGTGTTATTTTCTATGGCTGCAAAACAAATTATTACAACCTCAGTTCTTAAAACAACACCCATTTACAAGCTTACAGTTCAGTGGATCAGAAGTCTGGCTTGGTGTGGCTGGGTTCTCTGCTGAGGGTCTCGAAAGACTGACATCAAGGCGTTGGCTGGGCTGAGTTCTCGTCTGGCAGCTCAAGGGGAAAAATCTGCTTCCAAGCTCATTCTTGTTGGCTGACGTCAGCTCCTTGGGGTGGGGGCCTGAGGCCCCATTTCCCTCTGGCTGTGAGATGGGGGTTGTTCTCAGCCCCTGGAAGCCACCCACATTCCTTGCCCACTTGGTCTTCAGGCTTCAAGGCAGCAACTGTGTGCCGAATCCCCCTCATACTTCGAGTCTCTGATGTTCTTTTCTGGGACTGGTTGGAGAAAACCCTGCTTTTCGAGGGCTGGTGTGATGAGGTCAGGCCCACCCAGATAATCTCCCTCTTAGAAGGTCACCTGTGCCCCATCCCACCCCCGACTTGTACTCCAGGGCCCGGGAGTCTTGGAGGACATCTCAGATTTCTGCAGTGAAAATGTTTAAAATGTTAATGATTGTGTATTTTATTTCTAGAAGTTTTCGCTGGCGTTTTCTAGTTTCCCTTTTTTTTGTGGACTTGTCTTATTATGGATTCTCATCTTTCTTGTCTCTCTCTCTGGTGGATGGATAAATGGTTTCTAAAATTTGGTTGGCTGCATCTTTATCGGGCTTGTTTTATCCATGGGAACCCTGTGTCACCTGAGTAGCAGGAATGTCCCTGCTCTATTTCCAGAAGCCCCGGGCCCTGTGGTCTTGCTGGTGGTCTGGCTGGTCTGGGACCAGTCTTGATGGTGCTCTCTCTGCGGGGGCGGCACGGTTTAGATTCCACGGTCATGGTTGTGGCAGCTTGGCCATGAGGCATCGGATGGAGCTGTCTCTCTTTTGTTGAGTGCACAGTGGTTGGAGGGTGTCATGCTGTTGGAGGGTGTTGGATTCTGGTTCTCTGGTCTTCGGGGCTTGCAGTCTCGTCCTCCCTGTCTGGGTGTCGAGATGCAGCCCCAGCCCCGCCGGCCTCTGCCTGGCATCCACTCACCCCTTCCCCTTTATGGCACTGACAATTTCCTTTTCTCCTTGTGAGCTCACTGTGTGTTTTTCCAAGGTGATAGATTTTGCCTGACATTTCTGGGTGTTCGTAAGAGGGTTTTGTGTTAATGAAGTCCTGCCGTGTTGTCAGAACATTGAGTCCTCTGCATATCATTGTGGTAGGGAGGATTTCGAGACTGTTCCTTGAGGAGTTTGGGGGTGGGGTGCTGCTGGGGTGGGGTGAGAAGGAAGGGGCAAGACAACGGTGTTGGGAGTGTCCACGCCCATCATACCTGCCTTCCCCGAGGACCCCTCCTATGTGGCCCAGCTGGACTCCTCGGTAATGTGATAGGTGGGATTCTGTGTGTGGGTGAAATGGAGTTGGAAAGCCACCAGCCCGGGGTCCCCTTTGTCTGTCCCGGACCTCTCCCTACTCTGCAAACACCCTTTGTCTTGCAGAAGAAGTGCTTCCTGAGAAGGAGAAAATTCTGGACAAGCTGGAGCTAAGCTTGATTCACAGCAGAGGGGATGGCAGTGATTTCAGGCCAGGTTTGGGGCTCTTGTGTGTGCTCTCTCCTGTGTCCCTTGGGCTCTTGAGGGCGCCGTCTGGACTCCGTTGGGCCTCCTGCAGCTTCCATGGGCGCCACCATCCATCCGTAACCCCTCCTCCCTCACCCACCCAGCTGGAGCTGGCGCGCAGGAGCCTGGGCTCGCCAGCCCTTGGCCGGGGGGAGATGCCGCCCCCTCTCCTAATCCCTCCTGTGGCCCCAGCCACCACCAGGAGAAAGGAGAGCTGGTCACAGAGCTTGGCCTGGAGCATCTGGGGCTCAGTCATAGACTTTGTGTACCTGTAGATACTGGAATGTTCTGGAACACTCATCCTCAGATCAGACCCCTCAGGACAGCACTGCTGGCCTCTGACTTAATGTGCACTTTTCGCACTGCTCTGCCCGGTGGTCCTATTTGAGTGGGGGAGCTGCACCTGGGCCTAGAGCCCACCCTCCCTGCTCAGGACAAGAGAGGGGCTGCTGATTTGTCTGTTTAAAATCCCTCTTGGCAGTGAGCCCCTTGAGGACGATGAGATATGGCTCCCACTTGCCTTTGGGTCCCCAGTCCCCAGTGCTTGGCAGAGAGAGGGCCCTGGGCTGTACCTTTCAGATGGGTAAATGAATATGGGTCTGTCCTCCCATAGATGACACCAAAGTGGAGGAGAAGGAGCCCCTTGAAACACAGCAAAATGGTGACAAAGAGGAAGATGAGGAGGGGAAGAAGGAGGACAAGAATGGGAAGTTCAAATTCATGTTCAACATTGCAGACGGGGGCTTCACAGGTATTGGGCTGAGGCGGTGGGCAGAGAGCTAGGGTGGTTGTTGTCACGGGCTTCCTAACTTTGTGGGTCCTGGGAGTGTGGGCAGATGGTTACTTTATACTAAAGTGTGAGTGGTTGATAAAAGTGCATTATATAACCTTTACTGGTAACCCTGAGATACTGAACTTCCAGGGGTGGGGAGATGGTGGGTGGTGAGGAAGAGACTTTCCTATGCCTACCCTTGTGAGGGACTGGGGGGCACCTCATTCTGCTTCTCCGTTGGCTGGCTTCCCAGAGCTGCACACACTGTGGCAGAATGAGGAACGTGCTGCTGTGTCCTCGGGGAAAATCTACGACATCTGGCACCGGCGCCATGACTACTGGCTGCTGGCCGGCATCGTGACGTATCCTTGGCCAAGCCCGGCCGGGCAGGACTCCGGCCTGTTCCTCTGTGGACCTCAGGGAGGGACATGGGGTGTGTGGGATGAGGAGTTAGGAGCCCATGCTTTTGATCAGGTGCTGAGGACCCTTTCCTGGTGTTGATGGTGATGATGGTGATGACCTTGGCTGTGGCTCATCCCTTTCCGCCCAGTGCTCGCTCCATCCACATAGCAGCCTTACGAGGGGCACCACCATGATTCCATTATACAGGGGAGGAAATGATGCTCAGAGAGGCCACGTGACTTGCCCAGGGATACACAGCTAATAAGTCACAGCCCATCCCTCTGACTCCAAAACAAATAACCCCTAACTCCTGCCCTCCTCCCAGTAATGATGCCTGCAGGGGGCATCGCCATTTACAGGGCGCTCGTATTCATCCATTCAGTCTTGATTGCTCGTCTCCTATGTGCCAGGCATGGAGGATGCAACCCTGAACAACATTCCCCAATCCCTGTCTACCTGGGGCTCAGATCCTGCTGGGGACAATGGCGAACGCCGTAAGTTAGCGGAGTGTGGCATTCAGCGGAACAGGATAGAGCAGGCGAGGAGCAAACAGAGTGTTGGGGTGGGGGCTGCATTTTCTAATAGGTGCTCAGCGGTGACATTTGAGCACAGACCTCCCAGGGGCAAGGGGAGGGCCACGAAGCTGCCCACGGAAAGCCCCTCAGCAAAGCTGACCTGGTTATATGAGGGGGGAGTGTTCTAGAATCAGGGCCAGCAAACCTTTCCTGGAAGGGGCCAGAGTGAATATTTCAGGCTTTGCAGAGCGATTACTCCGCTCTCACTGTTGCAGAAGGAGCCACGGACAGAAGTGAGTGTGACCACATCCCAGTAAAATTTGTTTAAAAAAATGTGGGCTGGGGGCCAATGCGGCCTATGGGCCATAGTGTAGATTCCTTTCGTGGAGGTGAAGGTGTTTGGAGCCAGCCTGCCTGGGTTCAAATCCTGCCCCTGCCCCTCACTCACTCGGGCAAGATAATTTTATTGTGTGTCCTTGTTCCCTTGGCGGCTTTCGGGGAGGACCCTTCCTAGCCTCCCTCCCGCTTCTGGTGGTGGCTGTCAGTCCCTGGGTCCTGAGTCTCTGCCTCTCTGGTCACATGAGCTTCTTCCCTGGGTCTCTGTGTGTCTGGGTCCAAGTTTCCTCTTCTTAGAAGGCCAGGAGTCACTGGGTTGGTGCCCACTCTAATCCAGGATGACCCCTTCTTAACTTGACTACATCTACAAAGACCCCATTTCCAAATGAGGTCACGGTCACAGGTGTGGGCATTGAGACTTGAAGTTTCTGCCTCCGGGTTGTTAGGACGAAGGGTTCGGCCCCCAAAGCCTCAGTGCTGTCTGGACCCCTGAGGGCACTTACCAGTGTCCTCGGTCAAGTCATCATCAACTTGCTCGCCTTGCAGCCAAGGGTAATGACTTGTCTGAAAGCACACAGCCGGGATGCTGACCCCAGGCTGGTCCCCCCTCGCCCTCCCACCTCCCATCCTATGGCTGGGTTTGCCCTTAACGGTGCCCCACCCAGGCACGGCTACGCCCGCTGGCAGGACATCCAGAATGACCCGAGATACATGATCCTCAACGAGCCCTTCAAGTCTGAGATCCACAAGGGTAACTACTTGGAGATGAAGAACAAGTTTCTGGCCCGCAGGTTCAAGGTCAGTTCCCGAAGGCCAGAGCCTGCAGGGGTGGGGCTGCTGCAAGAAGGCAGATTACACAGGGGGCCGGGGGCAAGGCAGTTACCCAAGAGCGGCCCCCTCCTCACGTATCTGGACGTAGTAGTCAGTCATGTAGTCAGTCAGCTAACAGCGTGTTGGGTCCTTGATCTGGGCCAGGCTCCCCTGGGCAAGTCTCCCTGCCCTGGGTGATGGTGTGGAGAACCCAGATTGGTGAGAGCTCTGAGGGGGGTAGGGGCCAAGAGCAGACAAGGGTGGGCATATGGGTGGAAGTGTGTCCTCCCTCCTTCCTTTCTGCAAGATCCCGGGCCTGTGGGGGTGGGTGCTGGCGGAGGAGGGGCCAGGTTGGCGCTCAGTCCCTCCTGCCCCATCCCCCAGCTGCTGGAACAGGCGCTGGTCATCGAGGAGCAGCTCCGGAGGGCCGCGTACCTTAACATGACCCAGGACCCCAACCACCCCGCCATGGCCCTCAACGCCCGCTTGGCTGAGGTGGAGTGCCTTGCTGAGAGCCACCAGCACCTGTCCAAGGAGTCCCTTGCCGGGAACAAGCCGGCCAATGCCGTCCTGCACAAGGGTGAGCGAGCCTGCCTGCCTTCCGCCTGCCCCGTGGATCCTTGGCCATTGATGAGGCCGCTGATGGGGCAGGGGTCAGCCTGGCCTCCTGGCCAGGATGGGACAGTCCAGCATCCAGTCCAGGGAAAGTAAGGCCCTCCCTTCTCTGGACTTCTTCTCAAGGTCTGCTCTCTGTAGGCCCTGGTCTGGGGGTTGGTAACACAGAAGTCTATTCGACTTACACACTCTTGCTTATCAAGGCCTGACAATATGCTTTAAATACACGGCATCTCTTTAATGCTCCTAATATCCTTAAGTGATAAGGTTTATTACCCCATTTTAAAAGACAGGGACATTGATGCCCAGGGTAGTGAAGTAATTGCCCAAGATCTCCCGGGATTCAGACCTTTGACTCCTGTGCTCCAGGTCTTCAGGAAGCTCCCAGGCTGGTTAGAGCGATGGTTGGAGCGGGGGGGAGCCAAGGCCAAGTGCACACGAGAGCCCTGGACTTGCTGGACCCTGCTGTGTTTGGGAGATGTCTCCTGAGATAGCCATGGGCCAGGGCTGCAGGCCTCCCTGGGAGCCGGGGGGTGGGGGTGGGTGTTGACAGAGGGCCTGGCGGAAGTCCAGAGTTTCTGGCTCTCCCCTTGGCAGCCCTCAGGTCCCTGGAGAAAACTGCTGTTCGCCCAGGTGGCGTGTCTCTGCTTTGTGGGCCTGGAGGGCCGGGCGAGGCGCGCCCTCTGTGCCTGCGGCCTGGGGAGTGTGATCACACACTTGTAGATAAGCACCAGCCCGCTGGTCGTCAGCGGCGCCTTGGCGTCCCCCCTTCCCTCCCGTAGTCCTGAACCAGCTGGAGGAGCTGCTGAGTGACATGAAGGCGGATGTGACGCGCCTGCCCTCCATGCTGTCCCGCATCCCCCCGGTGGCTGCCCGCCTCCAGATGTCGGAGCGCAGCATCCTGAGCCGCCTGACCAACCGAGCCGGTGACCCCACCATCCAGCAGGTCAGGTTCCGCCCGCGCGCCCTGGGCTGGGTCCCCGTCATGCAAGCCCTGGGCGCCCCTGGGTTGGGGCTTGGGTTGAGGGGTGTGGGACTACGACCTTTAAACCTGGGTCCTTGCCTCCAGGGCGCTTTCGGCAACTCCCAGATGTACAACAACAACTTTGGGCCCAACTTCCGGGGCCCTGGACCGGGAGGGATTGTCAACTACAACCAGATGCCCCTGGGGCCCTATGTGACCGGTAGGTGCCCGCCGCTTCTGGGCAGCACGTGCAGGGGCGCCCCTCGGGGGCCCGGCCTGCCCGCCACCAGCCCAGGCAAGCCGAGCTTCTCTCTCTCACAGATATCTAGCTGTCCCCGCGATTTCCCTCTGTTGCAGTGCTCATTTCCAGCTGAGGTAAGCCTGCATCTGCACGCCCCATGGTCCCTTGTCCCCCTCCTCGGGTTGGCGAGTCAGGCCTGGCCAGGTTCAGCCCCGATTCCGTTGGGCGCGCCTCCCACGTGTCAGTGAGCACGCGTGTCCACAGCGTGAGTCAGCCCCAAACCCGCTCTGCACGGGTCTGCCTCCGCTGCCCACCGGGGTGGTGGGCGCCCCAGGACATCGGCTCCCTGCCCAGGGCAAGGAGGGTAGCTCGGGGCCGGAGCGGGTAAGGGTTAATGGCTAGGAGAGGGGAGCTTACTTTCGAAAAACCACCAGTTCACCCCGGCCTCCTCTCCTTGGGCCCCCCAAGCCCTGCGCATCCTCGTAAGAACTGCCACTTCGGGTGGAGGCGCTGGGGGTTTCCAGACCGCCCGGCCCCTCAGAACGCTCTCTTCCCAGGGCCTCTCTGGCCCTCCAAGGGTGGCAGTGAGGTCTTGGCTCGGGAGCTCCTTCTGGGAGGAGTGGTGGGACGGGTGGTGGGTGCCCCCCTCTAACGAAGACCTGGCTGCTCAGCGGGGTGACCGTGATCGGCCTCTTGCAGCCGCGCCTGCCGGGCCACCTGCCCAACCCCCACAGGAGAGAAAAGCTACCGCCTTTTTAGGAGCCATGCCATCTTGGGACGGAAAGGGAAACTGAATAATGCCATCGCATGGGGGACGAGGCCCAGCCTGGCTGGGCTGGAGCCCAGAAGTGCCACCTCCTCATCATGCCAGTGTCCCACCCAGCGTCACACCCACCCCACACCGGGACGTACCCCTTGGCCACCTTTGCCGGACAACTTCTTAGAGGAGATTTCATTTATTTGTACATCTTTTGCACTTTCCTATTGAAGACTTGAACGAGTCTGTCTTGATATAAAAGTTGAGTGACGTATGGAGGGGTCTAACCTGCAGCACTCACGTCTCTCTGTCAACGGGCTCCAGACTTCAAAGGAAGATCCTAGAAACGCTGCTGCTGGCCCCGGGGACTTGGCCCGCCTGGGGAGCCCTCTGTGTGCCCCGCCCACCCCATCCCGTCCGTGTGGCCTGACTGCCCCTCGGGGGTCCCCAGGGCTGGATGGGTCAGGAGTGGGGAGTGGCTGCCCAGCCCCCAGGGTAGAGACCTCAGCTGGTGCCCGGGGCTGGGGCTCTCTTCCACCCCCTTCTTGCCGGGGCTGGAGACCACCAGGTATGTGCTATCTCGGTGGGGGAGGGGAGCCTGTCAGCAGGTGTCTGTCCCTGGCCCAGCACGTCTTGCAGGCCCTGGACTCTGTTAGCAGAGCGGACGGCTGTCGTGCTGCGTGGCCACATGCAGCCTGTGCTCCGGGGAGGAGGGGAGGAGCGGAGCCCACGCACGTAGCATAAGGGCTGTGAGAGCCTGTCTCGGCCTCTGCGGGAAGGGGCTTGCCCTCTGTTGCGGTGTGGTTAGCGTCCTAGCAGGGCAGGTCACTGTGGCACTGAGGGTGGCCCCGGAGACCCTGGTCCTGCCCTGTGCCCCGGGAGGCCCATCACATCCCCCTCTAGGTACACACTCCCCGTTCAGTCTCATGGCCACAGATGCAAAGAAGCTGGACCACCCCTTGGGGCCCAGACTTATCCCTGTCCTCCTGTCCCTGGAGAGGCCCCTGCTGTGTTGTCGGAGGGCCTGGGGAAAGCTGGGCTTGGAGGTGGGGGGCTGGACCTGATGGCTGTCCAGCCCTCTGAGCTGGAGCCTCCAGGCTTCCTGCCTCGTCTTCTCTGGGGAACCCCCACTGGCCCCCCTCCCGCACTCAGCCGGTGGTCTCCCATGAGGAGACCCTGGGCTTGTCTATGTCCGATGCTTCCTCTGCCTGGCTCAGCCTGGAAGGGTTTTCCCAGCCTTGGGCAAGGGGCTTCCTGGGGAAGTGTCCTGGCTACAGAATCCAGGAGGGGCCAAGATTTGGGGGTCTCTCTGGGGGCCTCTTGGGCAATCAGCCAGCCCTCATGGGGTCCCGGGTGCTCTCTGTAAATGGCTGTGAACCCCTTGAGGGCTGGACCCCAAAGCCTTTTCCATCTTGGTGTCCCCTCGCTTCAGTCTCAGAACCTCCCAGGCCGAGTCGGCCCCGGCACTGCGGGGGGGGGGGCGGGGGGCGCGGTGGTGAGCACTCTGAAGGCGGCACCCAGCTTTCCAGGACGTGCATGATGCAGCGCTGCCCTCGCCTTCTGGGAAGGGCAGGGTCGCCCCAGTCCGCTGGGGTTCCTGTGGGTGCCGCGCGCACAGCCTCCTGGTTCAGGCCTCTGGCGAGGTGACCACATGAGCCCCCTCCCAACCCTCCCAACCCAGAGCCCCGTGACACTCCCTCCCAGACCCCCGGTCAGCCCTGGGGCTGGCCTCACTGGGCACAGTGCTGGCCCTCCACCTCGGCCACAGTGGGTGGGTCTTGAGTGCCCAGCCAGGAGGCCCACGGTGGTGGCAGGGCAGGGGCCCGCATCTCCACTGCCTTGCCCCAAGGGCTGTTGGTCCCCCTGCTGTCAGTCCTTCCTCCCCAGAAAGCCTCCTGCTGTCGCCCCATCTTTGCTTCCATGCCGGGCCTCCCCCTCCTCTACTGGGCCGGATCTGGGTGTGTGCAATGGCCAGGTCTGGGAAGGGCTCAGCTCTCCACGACCAGCACCTGGAGGCGCGGGAGGGGGGCTTCGGGCAGTTGGGGAGGGGGTTTCTGGTCGGCTGGTTTGGGAGAGGAAAATGGATCTCAGACTGTTTTCTTCTTAGTTTATCAGTTACCTCCTGCCACGAGTGGTGGCGGGGGAGAGGGGCGTCCACGGTCTTTGGCATCTTCCGGCTGGGTTTGGTTTTTGCTGCTGACAGAATGAGGGGCTTTGTGTACAAGCAGAATCCTACAGCGTCAGCCCGCATTTTTGTTTCCAGCCACCCTATTATTTAAACCAGTGCTGAGTAGGCTTTCTGTCGAACCACCTTTGGGCCTCAGTTTCAGAACGCATTGCCTGCTGGGCTCCCAGGTGACGAGAGGCGCATGGGCTGGACCGACCATGTCCGGAGGGCCCCGCTCTCGCACATACTGCCCCGCAAGTGCAGTCCCTGTGAGGAGACCCTCTCTGCAAGCCCCCTTCAGAAGCTCCTTGGCCTCCTGCAAGTTACGACCAAGGTCGTGCTGATACCCACACCTGGTGCAGGTGCCTGCCCTCCTGCTCTCCGGGGGTCCCTTTCCAGGGTCCTCTGGGGCCTCTCTGAGCCGTGGTTTCCCCACCTGTAGAACAACACCACTAGGATGACCTAGCACCCCCCCAGGAGGCTGTTCTGAGGACTGTCAGAGAGAACAGGTGCGAAGCTCTCAGTAGAAGAGCTGGGGCTCAGCTAGCGCTCGGCAGCAGTAACTCACAGTCTTGCCCCAGTGACCCTGTAGCTCTTGCTCCCAAGTGTCGGGTCCCAGGGCTCCCAAGTGTCGGGTCCCAGGGCTCTTGAGGGCCTGAGAGGGTCATGGAGAGGGTGGGCTCAGGGACAGGAGTGCCTCCAGAGCTTGGGCAGGGGGCGGGGCTTGGTGGGGAGGCGGGGCTGTGAGGCCTTGGCCTGGCCACTGCCTCTGGTCCCCCGCCGCGCCTGCGGCTGTCCCGTGCCCGCTGTGGTCTCCAGTGAAGAAGCTGGCTCCCGCCCCATTTTCTATTTCCGCAAGTTTACAGGTCGTGGTGCATCAGCCCAAAGTCATTGGCGTTGTGTTTTGGGTTTTTTTCTTAGTTTTCAGATTTTTTTTAAACAAAAGTATTTTTTTAGGTGCGATAACCCAGAAAGGGCCCGTTGGGTGTGTGTGTGTGTCCTGAACCCCTGACGTGGAGCTGGGGGCCCCCAGCCCCCCTCAGCTCCTGTGTGCTGGAGGTGAGGGAAGGGTCTTGCCCCCTGTGCGTTGGAGCGTGGGGGGGTAGTGAGGGAGCAGACCCCCACCCAGGTTGGCATCTGGCCCAGTGAAGGGGGCCGGGCCCCTGGCCCTGGGTACAGCCCCAGGCCCACAAAGGGGCCACGGGCTTTTGGGGTGAGTTGGGAGGGTCCCAGCTGGGAGGGTCCTGGCCAGGGGGCTGGAGCCAGAAGCTGAGCCCCCGGGAGTGGCGACCCGTCCCGTCCTTGGCAGGACACGTGGGCGGCTGGACAGGGACTGCAGCCAACACAATCCCCTTTACTTTGTACTCTGTGTGTGCGTCTTGGTTTTCTGTGTTTTAATAAATCCTTTGGGAAAGGATTCAATCAAAGTGTTTCCTAATTCTCACTCATCTAGGATGGGGGTGGGAGCTAGAGACGGGGGAGGCCTGTGGGGGGTGTCATCTGAAGCTGCCTCCCACCTGAGAAGACATGGCCTCATGAGGCCCCCCGCCCAGGACCCTTTTTCCCAACTGGACCCTTTGCCCCAGGGTCAGGATTTCAGGGGGGCCCAGTCTGCCAGCCCCTGCAGGTGGCAGCCCACCCCCACTCCGCCTCCCCACTGCCCATGGCCCCTGGAGGCGAGAGGAGCAGAAAGCCGCAGACCCCCGACAGGCTGGGGCTTTATTTGTCATTCCATAAATACGGTGGCTGTACGTTGGCCGGGTGTCGTCTGCGAGCACAAGGCGTAAGGCCGTCTCTGCCTACGGTAGGGAATGCACTTAGCTGAGGAATCACAGTCGTTAAAAAAAAGGGGAGAGGAGAAAAGCGCATTATTTACACGACAGAAGAGGATAGAAGACGGAGTAAGCCCCTCTGTTGTTCCTCAGGACCTCGGATGCGCACGGGGTTTGGGATGAGAAATGGTGGAGGCTCCGCGTGTCAGCAAGGGAGACCGAGCCCAGCCCTGCCCTCAGCCTGGGCCTCCGTCCTGTGTGGGGCGCTCCCCAGGGGCCCCTTCGGGCAAACTCTGCCTCGAGGGGAGGGCTGGAGTCTGGCGGGAGGGCAGCTGGGGCGGTCTCTCCCGGTGGGGCCTGGACCACTCCAGGGCCTGCCTCTGCCCGGCCTTCTGTCTCCAGACTCTGGCTGCCCTTGGGCCCCACCTGACCCCCTCCCCCACACCAGCCCCCTTCTAAGTCGGGGGCCCTCCCCCAGGAAGCAGAGGCCTGTCATCCCTGCCAGGGGCTGTGGGAAAGAGAGGACACCTCAGAACCGGGTTGTGGATGGCGCCCCGGGGGCCAGGAAGCTGCTTGGGTCCTGGCAATGGGCATTTCGGCCTTGGCCCGGCTCCACTCTGAGGGCCCTCCCCTCCCTCTGGCAAACCTGGGGCCTTCCCCGGTGTGGCTCCCGTTGAGGGGGGCAGCGGCTGCTCCCTCGGGCCCCATCGCAAGCCCTGGTCCATCCTCCGCCAGTGGGCAGGCTGGGGGGCAGCAGTGTGAAGGGGGCCCAGCCGCTCTCCCCGGTGAGGGGTGGGCAATCCAGTCCCTCGGTACCGTCGGGGCTGCCTGGCCCGGAGCACCAGGTCCCTGCCCATCCCATGCGGTGGTGGGAGTGGCCACAGGTGGAGGGGGCGCCCTGCGGGGACAGGCTCGCCCCCCCCACACCCACACTGTGCAGATGACCCCCAGGGGCCTGGTCGGGGAGGAGGAAGGAGGGTTCTAGACTCCAGGGTCAGCATAAATGTCGGGAATGGAAGTTGTCCACCCCCGCCCCCGCCTCCCCCCTTGCGTGTGTGGCTTTCCCAGGCCTCGGCCCAGCCAGGACGGGCCAGCAGGCCTTCTGAGAATGGCAGGGAGGAGCCCCTCCAACAACAGCTTGTCTGAAGGGCAAAGCCCGGCTGTGCCCTGCTGTAGTGAGGGTGGGGTGAGGGTGTGGGGGGTGTCGGGGTGGGGGCTGCCCTGACTGGGGGCACACAGTTGTCCTACAGCGTGGGCTCTGGCCCGGCCCCCACATAGCCAGCAGAGGCCGAAACCTCAGGACAGTGGGGGCCGGGACTCCTGGCCGCAGGCCCCCTCCCCTCCTCCATCTTCCTAGCCTGGGGCAGGTGCACGGCAGGGAATGACTAACTCCAGCCATCCTGACCTCTTCCCAGGCTGTGTGCAGAGGTCCGGGGGTGGAACTGCTGCCTGTCTGCCCAGGGAAGAAGCTCTGGGGACCCAGACTTAGCACCCTAACACAGGGGTCCTCACCCCGACCGGATCGGAGGCCTTCAAGAAGGCACTGCTCCAGGGAGAGGCTCCTGGGGGCTTTTCCTCGATTGTGGGGGCTCCTGCTAGATGTTCAGGCCCTCCAGCCCCTGGGCGTGCAGCACAGAAAGCCCCAGGGACCCGCCCTCCCTAGAGGGCCTAAGGGTGGTCTCTCTGCAGATCCGAGGCCACTACCCAGGCAGAGCAGAGGTGTGCTCCCTGCACGTGGTCGGCAGCCAGTCGAGCTACGTATGGGCGACCTCAGGGCCTTCTGCGGCCAGGACAGAGGGGCGGTGGACAGAGCACCTGGTCAGGAGGGCAGGTGGGGGCCTGGAGGGACCTGGGCTGGAGGCTGCTCCTCAGGCTCCTTCCCAGCGCTCAGGGCTGCACTGGGCAAGGGGCTCATCAACTGTGTGCAGGGAGGAAGTTGGCAGGGCTATGAGCTCGGTTAGAGCCCCGAACTTCCTGTGGGCCCCACTTGATAGTGAATCCTCCTGGATCTCGGCCCCTGCCAGCAAGGGGGGTGGGGTGGGGGTCAAGGGACAGCTCAGAAGGCCCCTGAGAGACCTGTGGGGGCAGGTGGTGGTGCTGAAGAGGGTGCAGAATGAATCTGGAGTCAGGCCCATCGTAAAATGCTGGGAGCCCTTGGCAAGAGGGAGGGTGTGGGGGACTCCCAGCGGAGGGGGCCACGGGAAGAGCCAGGCCTGGTTTCCTCTTTCCCACCCCTGACACCAGGTGGGGGTCCTCAGCAGAGGAGAGGCTAGCCCTGCTGCCCCCAGGACCCAACTGGGTCTCGGCCTGGCCTGGACTGGAGGCATCTCTGGGAAGGGCCGAGGCCGGGAGCAGCCATGGTGCTTTCTTCCTGGAGGGCGAGCAGAGGCTGCAGGTGGGCTCAGACGGGACGGCTCCAACATCCTGCCCCGTCAACGCTGTATCCCGGGCACAGATCTGAGTTCGGTCCCGCGAAGCAGCGAATGGTGTCTTGCAGCAACTTTTGAGATCTTTTCCCCGACGACATCTCGCTGTGATGTTTTCTTTTTGATGCAAACCACACCCCTGACATGGCTTCAAAACAGCTTAAGCGAGCGAACAAGAGAGACTAGGAGGGAAACGGAAAGTGTCCGGGCAAGCGGCCGGGGGCTTCTTAGGATCTGTAGTCCTTTTTGCTGTAGGGTTTATTGCCCAAAATACTATCAATCTCATGGATAATGGAAGACGACAGTTTCGGAAGGACCTGTGTGTGAGGACAAGAGCTAATCAGAATCCTACGAAGACTGGCCTGGCCTTTGGAGGAGGCTGGGTGACCATCTTCCAGACACCACTGGCCTGTCCTGCCTCATCACATCACGCTTCTAGCCGGAGCATCGGCTGGCTATGCTGCTTCTGTGTTCCAGAAGGTCTGGGGCAGAGAGGAAGCCTGCCTGGGGTTTAGCTCTGCGCCTCAAGCTCCAGAATGCTCTAGAACCATCTAGAAGGCACAAAATACAGATTCCAGGGCCAGACACCCCTTCCTGAACACCCAGGATCCAACCCTCTCTGAGGGGGTCTGCTGTCACTTCCCCGCGGATCTCCCTGCACCCCCTCCAGTTCCCTAAAGACTTTCCTCCGCTCAGCAGCCGGGGAGAGAGGGATCCTTTTAAAATGTAGGTGGGGATCGGGCCCCTCCTCAGCTCTCGGGGGCTCCTGTCTCACTCAACAACCACCAAAGTCCCTAGTGTCCCGGGCACTGCCCCGCCCCCTCTGCTCCAGACCACGCCCACTGGTACCACCTGTGTCCCCTCTGCTCCTGGACGGGTGTCCTCCAGGTGTCTGCAGGTCCCACGCCGCACCTCCGGAGACTTTGCTCACTTGTTACTTACTCAACAAGCCTACCCCATGAGCCCCCTCAGCCTGGGCCCACGGCGCCGCCTCCCTTGTGCGCCCACCTAACCTGACCCTAAGCCTGCCCTTGCTCGAGGGCCTTTCACCCTCGGATTCTAACTTCCTCATGTCTTGCATTCAGTGCTCACTGCTCTTCCAGAGCAGGGCTTCTGGGGGATCTCTGCTGCAGCCCAGACGCTTAGAACCGTGCCTGGCACATTGCAGGTGCCCAAAAACATGGGCTGGACGAATGACTGACTGCGACCCTGAGTTCGGCCCAAGGGCTGGGGGGACTCATCCAGCAGCCCCCTCCCCAACTCGCCTGTATTGCTCCGATGTTCTCCATTAGCTGGTCTGCGCTGGAAGCCCCCAGGAGCACGGAGCTGACTCCCTCGTTCCTCAGGCACCAGGCTGGGGCAGGAAGACCAGAGGTGAGGGACACACACCACACCCAGTGCAGGGGCCCTTCCTGGTTCTGCCCTGTCCCTAACTGTGCCTCAGAGATCCAGCCTCTCGGTCGTGGGGGTGAGGGTGCCCAGGAGGGTCCAGCCTGTTGGGTGGGGGCTTTGCCGGCGATGGGGCTGGACAGGGTTCTGGGAGAGCCCTGGTACCAACTGCTTCCAGGGGAGAGAGGTGGTCCCCGTGCTCAGGGACGACCCCCCACCCTTCTCTCCCCATGAATGTCGGGACCCATTATCTATGGCTGGCTAATGGAGGCAGCCGCCCCAGGGACAATGGTCAACGCTACCCCCCAAGTCCTGTTACCTATGGCTAGCTGGGGGAGGGTGCAGCCCAGCCGCTCGGCGATGGCCTGCAGCTCCTTCAGCTTGGCCTGCTGGCGCCGGCCCTCCTCACTCAGGATCTTGTCCTTCAGCCACTGGTAGCCCTGGATGTGGGGGATGAAGAGCACAGCCCCCAGGTGAGGGCAGGTCACCTGGACCTCTGTATGCAGACGGCTGTGATCTGTGCCAAGGCAGCGTCCACACCCCCTGCCCAACCACGTCCCCTGTAGAACAGAGCTGGGCAGTTGGAAGGACGGGGCCTGTTGAACGTGAAGCCCAAAGACTGTGGGGTCGCTGAGGCTGGGGCCCTGAGCCAGGACGAGCAGCCTGGCAGCCTGGGAAGGAATGCTTTGGCTGTTGGCCCTGAGGACCCCTTCCCCAAGCTCTGGGCGAGTTGTGGTTTCACTTGCCCCCACCCCTGGGATTGCAATGCCTTCCAGGGAACTCCCTGACTCTGCTGTGGATTGGGCAGGAGTGGGTGGGACAGGCCATCCTGCCCTCGAACCCGAGGCAGGGGGGCTCCGGGGCTGGATCTGCCCTGACCTGGGTTGGCCTTTCTCTGCCTGCCCCTCCTCCCCTGCATTTTGGAGATCCTCCTGCATCCCCACTGCAGAGATGTGTCTATGTTGGGGGGCACTCGTCCCAGGAGATCACCCCTGAGTGCTGAATGAAGCAGCTCTGCAGCCCTCAGCCCAGAGGTCTCGGGGATGGGCCACAGAATGTGCAGGGGGGTATCTGTCCGCAGCAGGGGCCATCCCAAATAGCACAGGTGGACCCAGCCCAGGCTGTGAAGGTTGAACTGAGGTGGGGGGTGGCGAGGGAGTGGAAGGGCTTTTTTAGCTGGGGCGCATCCCGTGAAGACGGCAGCCTTTCCAGAGGTGGGATCTGGTCAGCAGGGGCTCCAGGTTCCCCTGCCCTCGATCCGCCCCCGCAGTGCCCCGACGGCGGACCCAAAGCCCTGTCAGTCCAAAATGCCTGTCGCCTGCCCGTCCCCTCCTCCCAGCCTGGCCGCTCCTTCACCTTCAGGGAGGCTCTCGAGTAGGGCGGGATGCCACTGTCGTACTTTCCAGAAACGATGCCGCAGGCCAGAGGGGACCAGGTCATGGCACCCACTCCTGGGGGAGGAAAACCAGGCGAGGTCAGGCCCAGGGTTCCGGGAGCGGGGCGGGGGCGAGGGGGCGGAGCAAGGGGAGAGGAGGCGGGGCTAGAGGAAGAGGGGCGGGGCGGAGCCATGGAGAGAGGAGGGGGCGGGGCGAGGGAAAGAGGCGGGAAGGGGCGGGGCCGGGCGGGGGAGCCCACCTATCTTGTGGAAGAGCTCGGGCAGCTGTACCTCCACCTTCTCGCGCTGGAACATGTGGTACTCGGCCTGCTCGCAGATGGGCGGGATCAGGTTGAACTGCCGGGCCACGGAGTAGGCCTCCTACGGGTGCAAATAGGGCCATGGATGGTACCTGTCCGTCAGTGGGTCTGGGGGCTGCCTGGGCAGCAGGGGGCAGGAGACACAACGGCATCCCCAGGAAACAGCTGGCCCACCTGCTCTCTCCCCACCCTCCTTCCCCGGGGGAGATTCACGGCTTTCCTGGGAAACAGTCTGTCCCCCCACCCCCTCTGCTGGGAAGAGGGGGAACCCCACAGCTGAAGGCATGGGGGGAATGCACAACTCAATAGTGAGACTTGGGTTCTGGCACTTATTGGCCGGGTGGCCTTGGACAAGGAGCTCGCCCCTCTCTGCCTCAGTTTCCCCATCTGTCGCTGAGGATCCAATGAGCCAACGTTGTTCACAGCCTTCAGGACAGTGCCTGCCCGCTATGCTGTTACTGTTTTTATCAGGATCATGGTTGCAGGGCCCCAGCCCCGGGATGATGGTGGCAGTGGCAGGAAATGCTATGCCAGAGGGGACAGTGGCCGGCATCAGCCCATTTCCGGGACTTGGAGCTCAAGGCCTTGACTCTCCCTCCACTCCCACCGGATGGGTGTGAGCCAGGGCTGATGTCTCCAGACAGACTCCTGGGGAGGCCCTGCCAGCCAGCCTGAGAGGCCCTTTCCCCTTTGGTTTGAGACACAGCTACTGCATCTGTAAAATGGGGATAAGACACTGACACCTCGGTGAGCTCTGTGCTGGCTCGAGGCAGCTTCAGAAAAATGCCAAATGCTCATTAATGCTGCAAATGCCAAAGGCAGATTAAAATCGCAGCCTTCTAGAATTGTGTTGAACTTGGAAATTCTGCTTAGTATTTTTGATGAAGCAGAAATCTGGGACTCACCAGAGGAGAAACCCCCTCCCAGGGACACCGGGATGTGGGGAATTCTGGGAGGAAGGGCATGGGAAGGGCTGAGGCTGGGAGGGGGCCTGGAAGCAGGGGTGAAAGGTCAGCCTTTGGAGACAGTCCTGGGAAGACCTGGTCCCCAGACCTCTGCTCTCTAACCCCCTGGGCTCCCAGCTGCCTGCCTCTGAGGGTAGGGGGGGTCAGCCACCCTGCTGCCCCTTCTGGGATACCCAGAAATATCAAGAAACATCTGCAGCCCTCTGTCTCTGATGGCTCCTTGGAGGGAAGGGACAGGGGAGGGGATGCTTTCCTGAAAGTGTGGGTGAGGGGAACCGACAGGGATTATGAGATGGAAGCCGGGCTCCCACCAGCAGCTCACATTCTGAGGCAGCCCAGGCCCAGAGCTGCAGAGCTGGAGACTGACCTCAGCATGGGTCCTCGGGTGTATTACTTAACCTCTCTGTGCCTCAACACTCACGTCGGAAAAACAGGCTGACAGCAACACTTACCCTGTAGGGTGCTGGTGTTGTGAGGATTAAATGGGAGTTAGTCCACACGAGCCCTCAAATCTAATGGCAACTGGAGCATCACGAAAGCTCAGGGCAAGTGGCTATGAGTTACTGCTGCCGAGCGCTAGCTGAGCCCCAGCTCTTCTACTGAGAGCTTCGCACCTGTTCTCTCTGACAGTCCTCAGAACAGCCTCCTGGGGGGGGGTGCTAGGTCATCCTAGTGGTCTTGTTCTACAGGTGGGGAAACCACGGCTCAGAGAGGTTAAGCCATCTGTCCAGGGCCACACAGTGCTGGGAGTCAAGTTAAGAGCCCTGCCTGCGGAGGTAGCTGCCACACGTCACCAAACTGTCCTTTGCTGTAGGACCCAGTTACCCATGCCACTGGGACCAGTGACACTGGATCTGCCAGAGTCCTGGACGTTCATCCCTAGAATGGGGCTGGGAGCCCATGCCCCACGGACACACGCATGTGGAGAGGTCACCGCCGTACCATGATCTCCATGGAGCTCCAGCGCGACGTGCCCCAGTACATGGCCATCCCCTGGTTAATGACGTGGGTCATGGCGCGCACCGTCTCTGTTGGGAGAGAAGGGGAAAGCGCAGGTTGGGGGGGAGGTGACCGGGGGCGTGGGGCCCAGCCTGAGGACATTCTGCAAATACAGGTGGGGCGCCAGGAGGAGGGGGTGAGCTGCAAAGGTGTCTTGCAAGCAGTGTACTTCCTGGCTCCAAAGTCGGGTGCGGCAGGGGCTTTCAGGGACCACAGAAAAAAAAGTGAACCACAATCCAAGAAGCTGGTCTTGAAAACCATTTCCCCAAATAGTTACAAGTCTTTGTAAAGGATCTTTGAAAAATGGGTTCTAGATGGACTGTGGCATCTCTATGGCAGATTGGAGAGATGAGGGAGAGGTGAGATCAGAGAATGTGGTTTTGGACTGTCGAAGGGGGGGTGCGGGTTCTCTAGTTTGGGGGAAGAATCAGATTGGCAAAAGGCAACAGGAAGTCAACACAGCTGACTGCCTTTTCAGGCTATGCCAGATTGGCACTGGGATCTGAGATTGAACGGCCAGGTCACAGTGGCATCACCATGTCCGGACAAAGGTCAGGGCGGGGCCCTGGACGCTCCCAGAGGGTGGGGGCTGCGGAGTGGAGCTCCCCTGGTGTTCCCCAGAGCCGGAAGTAGACACGGAAAGCCCCGTTTGTATCTGCCCCAGGTTCTCAAACCAGCTCGGTATCAGGCAAGGGACCCTCACCCCCGCGACACGACAGATTCTTCCCAGGACTCAAAAAAGTTTTTGAGAAATAGAAATCTGCCGGTTACAGCCTTCCTACCGCTCCCACGCCAGGCGGTTTCAGTCCACGGGGATGTTGTGGTTTTTAAAACAGACTTGGCCTCCGATTGAAAAAGTTCGAGCTGTCTCTTAGCTTTGCGGGGGAGAGGGGGAAGGGGACCTCATCAGATTCCTCACTGATCCCATACAGTGCTTGCAAGTCCCACTGCCAAAGGCAGGGCGGGAAGTAGGGCCGAAGAACAAGTGTGTCTGGAAACGAAGCAGCAACCTTGACCCCTGGAAGTCCCATCTCTCCCCAGGTGGCTTGCTCCTCATCTGCTGCCGAGATGGGGCAGGTGCTGGGGTCCCTGAAGACGGCAGGAGGTGGGAGAGCCGGAGGAAGGAAGGAGAAGGCGGGCTCTGTTCACAAAGCTCCCCCTCGGGATGGCACCAGCCCTCAGGCACTTTCTTCCGCAGAGAGCAGCATCTCTGTTTTGGGGTGTCACTTCCCACCCATCCTGGGTCCCTGAGTGCCCCTTCGGCTGAGGTCCCCGCTTTCAGTAGAAAGCTAAGGTAGCTGGGGCTTCTGGGGTCCTCATGTCAGCGGGTTCGCCCAGGTCCGCTTCCAGGCCTGCAGGCCAACCCCGCCCTCTCCTTCCTTCCACGATCAGGGACTGGGCTCCTCTCTGCCTCTCCTCAAGAGGAGGGCTGGCAGGGAAGCCCGGACCCCCGACCCCCAGGGACCCCCGACACCACTCAGTGCGAAGGAGACCGCCCCTGTCGGAAGGCTTGAGGGCCCCAGGAAGAGATCTGCCCACATCCAAGCCCGGGCTCAGGCTCCCGGCCCGCTGTCTTTGTCACGTTCTTTACAACACCTTGAGGGGCCCCTGGTGACCATGCAGCATCCCATCCACCAGCATGGCTGGCTCTCGATCCCTGGAGCCCGGCTCTCTCCTGACTGGGGGAAATGAGGGACAGGACATGATGCACTGCACCACCCCTTCCATGCAGTGGGAGAGGGGAGTCCCCCGGGGGCCACCGGGGCGGGAGCCCGTGAGAGCCGGAGGCTGGCCTGAGTGAGAAGGGGTCCTTGGGCAGCGGCCGGTGGGCAGTGCAGCCCACACACGGGAGCACGGCGCTCTGTGCTTCTGCCCACGCCCACGTTGGCGGCCCCAGGAACAGGGACAACTAGGGACAGCTGTCCTTCCCCTCAATATTTAATGCTGTTGAGCAGAAGCGGGACCAAATCCGTCTAGCTGTTGCCAGGACCCACAGTACCTACTGCCCCGTCAGAAATAATACATGGGAGGGGGCAGGTGGCCGTGCCAGTTGGTGGGCAGGAGCCCGTCCTCTGTGGGATGCAGCCTGGCCCCCGGGGAGACTGTGGCCTGCCCTCGGTGTGGGGTCCTGGGGAGGCCCTTAGCTTAGGGGCAGGCAGAGACCAAGCACAGCCAGAAGTTACTCCACGTCTCAGAGTTTTGCCAGCTCACGTAGGTATTGTTCAAGGAGGCAAATGACTCCGTTTTGATGGAGGGGTCAGGCTGCATGGCAAGGGGTGAGAGTGGCTGGTGGCCCAGCCTGTCCAGGGGGCGTGAGCCCCACTGTGGCCGCCATGCTCACGGAGGAGCCAGCGTGCCCTGATGGGGCAGCTTGCCACTGGTGGGTTTTGCTTCTGCTTGAGGCTGGAGCTTCGCAAACATGCCCTATGAAGGTAAGACTTGTTGGAAGCCACATGTTCTGGGGTCCCTGGTGTTCGCTCCTGGGGGCCCCTGGTCTCCCCAACCCTCTCCCAGACCATCCAGGGTCAAGGTTTCAGGCGCTGATCACAGCATCCCCAAATCAAGAGGAGCCCTGGCAGACAGCCAGACAGCTGCCCCCCTCCCCCGGAGGATCACGGCAGTGCAAGGCGGGGGGGGGGCGCGGGTCATGCATGGGGGGGCGGGAGGGATGAAATGACAGGCGGGCCAGGCAGGGGCGGGGGCCGGGGCTCCACACCGCTTTGCTTTTCCCTCACTTGCAAGATGTTCTCATAGGGCGCTTATTTTTCCTTTATGCATTTTATGGAGAAGTTTGTCTTGGGGGTAAGAGAGTGGTGTAAATAAAACCACTGTCTCATAAAATGCAGCTTGGACACAGGAGTCAATAGTCGGGCTAAGGGTACTGTGTACCTTCTATGATGAATGTCCTTGACTTGGAGGAACTAAATGGGTCCCCTGGTGATAAAGAAAGATTTAAAGAGACCAGAGTTTATAGCTGTGGGAACACGGAGAGGCGCGGTATGACAGAGGGCAGGGGAAGAAAGCACAAATCTCCTTCACAAGGTACTTGTTTTGTTAAAAAACAAAAACAAAAACAAAAAAACCCCAAATCAACCACACACACCACATACACATATATATACACGCACATGTGCACGGTATATATATATATAGATAGATAGATAGATAGATAAACAAATGAAGAAAAAATAACTTGAACACAACTTAATTTTCCAAATCCCTGAAGCAGCAAAGCACAAATGAGAGTCTGAAGCAGGAAGTTGGGGGGTGGGGGGGTGTTGGAGGGGCGGAGATCGCGGGAGTGGGAAGAATAAATAAGCGCCAAAGAAACCAAAACGTTTTCCAAAGCACTGCACATTTTTTTTTTTTCTCCTCTAAGTAACAATTTATCCCCCAGAGCAAAAGACCCCTAAAGCCTCCCCGCAGAACGGGAATGTGATTGGAAAGAACACAGCAGTTGCAAAGAGCGGTCTCGTGACTTCATTTAGCTACAAAATATTAACAGCTGAGAGGAGAGAACATTCCACACAGTTCTAAACCCAGGAGGGGGCGTGGAACCGGGCTGGGAGCAGGCGTGGACCCAAAGCCAGGATGGGGCGGGCGTCGGCCTGGAGGCACTAGGGCGCACCTGTGGGCGGTGAGGACCCCCCCCCAGGCTGAGCTCACCCCCACCGCCCCTGCTCCCCCCGCCCGGCCACCTGTGAGCAGCGGCCTGGGTGCCCCGTGGGGCCTGGGGGCAGCAGACGTCAGAGAGAACCTACCTTCCATGGGCGTGTTGGGGTCTGGGCGGTTGGCAAACACCACGTCCACGTACTCCAACTGCAGCCGCTCCAGGGAGGCCTTCAGACCTGGGCGGAGGAGTCAGAGGGGACTGTCACCATCGGCACAGACATTCCTGGGCCCTCACCCGGGCACCGGAGGCTCAGGGAGCAAGAGAAGAGAGAGACGAGGCCCATGGCCCCAGGAGCTGTCGGACTGTGTGGGGATACATGTGGGCACGTGCCCCACCTGAGATGAAGAAAAGCCAGGACTGAAGGGGGCCCACACCCCAAAGCGGGTGGTGGTGGTGTCCGTAGGCCAGACGCTCAGTGACTGAATGAAGGGGTGACCTCCTAGGCCCCCTGGTGGCCCAGGTGGGGACCGGGAGAGATAGGTAATCCCGCACGGAGGGGGAACCGCATCTATGTGTGCCCAAAGGCACAAATCACCAATGAGCACTTAGCAACAGTCAGAACGGAGCTGCAGAGTCAAGTGCTGGGGCTGGGCAGCAAAGCCTCCTAATCATTTAATTTTTTTTTGAAGAGTTTATTTATATATTTATTTTGAGAGAGAGAGAGGGAGCGCACAAGCAGGGGGAGGGCAGAGGGAGAAGCAGACTCCCGGCAGAGCAGGGAGCCCGATGCTGTGGGACTCAACCCCAGGATCCTGGGATCATGACCTGAGTCAAAGGCAGATGCTTCACCAACTGAGCCACCCAGGCGCCCCTAATCATTTGATTTTTAAAGGAGTGAGTGTATTACCTTGATGAAAATGAGCACAGATGGAAAAAGCACGAAAACAATATAATCATAGGATAAGCCAGACCCTCTCCCTCTCTCTCCCTCTCTCTCTCTCTCTCTCGACACTCCTGTGTGTGGAGTGCCCAGCTCTCTCTGACATGCAACACCTCCTGGGTTCTTCCCGATTCCCCAAAGCCCCAGAGGTGGGTACTCTTCCCACACTCATTTTACAGATGTTGCCACAGGGGCTTGGGGAAGTGAGGTCCCTTGCTCAGGATCCCCAGTCAGCATAGGGCCCGGCCCCAGTTGCAACCCAGGCCCGTCTTGTCTTCCCTGAGACAACACTGCCCATCTGAGGGCACCAGGGGCCCTGCTCTCATGCCCTGGAGCCTGGGTGGAAGGGGAGGGTCGGACCAGAGCACGGGGTGCATCAGTGGTGGGGCGGGGGCACTTGGCTTTCTTCACTCATGCATCTGCATGAGGATGCCGTGGGCGTGGGGGGCCGTGCAGGGCCAGAGCTCCCCTCTCACCTTCTATGATGTGCTTCCTGGAAAGGCCCCTCTCCGTCTCCGCTCTGAAAAACAGGACAACGGCGTGTGTGATGTTGCAAGCGGTTTTGGGGAAAATGTTTATGATGCAATGTTAGGCAAAAAAAAGTAGGTCAGTGCATGCCGCGTGCAGTCTGATTCCACTTGGGGGATAAACCACAGGCTACAAGGATATGCTCATGCAGGCTGGGAGAAGGGCCACTGTTTCCCTATCCTGGGGGAGGAGGGGGGTGGCCATAGGCGGGTGGGGGGTGGTCTGCGTTTCAATTTGTCCTTCTGTTTCCCTTGGATTTTTTTAAATTAAGAATGAATCATATTTAGAATTCCTATGAAGCTGATTTTGTCAAGCCCTAGAGAGAATGTGGGGCCAGACCCCTGGAAACTGGCAGGGATGGTCTGTGTCCAGGGAGGGTGGAATGGTTTAGACAGTTCGTGAAATTTCTGTGTTTTCCAGAATTTTTAGGATGTTACCTTTGTAATCAGAAAAAATAACAAACCTAGGAAAGTAAAAATAAAAATCAAACAAGGTTTGAGTAAAAGGCAACTCAGCCAAAGCTGCTATCCTGGAAGGTGATGTCAATAGGGATGGGCATCAGCCAGGGCAGACGGCTGCACACACGCCCCCAGGAGCCCCCTGAATCCTGACCCCAGCCGGGAGCATCGCCTGCCGCTGCACCTACTTTCCTCCCCAGAAGATCTTGGTGGTGATGACCAGGCTGGACCGTCTGCAGAACAGAAGAGAAGGAGTGTTACTGGGCGTGGCCGTGGTGGGGGGGTGTCTTCAGCTTTCACAGAGGGTCCTGAGCACCCTTCTCATCTGGGAGCATGGGGTGTGAAACGGATACCTCTGGATCATTTGATGTTTGTGGTGGTGCGAGCCCAGGATCCTGGGCTCCCCGTCGAGCCCCGAGACCAGTCATGGACCACCTCCCCGCCCCACCCTGGCTCCAGTGGGTTTTGTCTGGGAGGAAGTGGGTGCAGGGAGCACACTCCCAGGAGGTCGAGAGGAGGGGCTGCCGCGGACGGAGGGGCTCTGTTGAGGATGGAAGGAGGCGAGGGGGCCCAGCAGTCTGGCCCTACAGGCCAGAGACAGGCTTTCAGAAAGGGGTGTGTGGCATAGCCTTGGGGGGTGGGCACTGAGGGAGGGACAGTTGGGTGGGGCAGGACCCTGGGTGAGAGGGAGTTGGGATTTGGGTGATACAGAGCCTGGAGGGAAAGGAATGGATGAAAGCCAAGTGCTGACACCTGTCTGGTCCTGGCGGGATGGGCGGCCCCCGCAGGCCACCTCTGATGGAGACCCTTCCCAAAGGAGGGGGGAGGGGTGCCAATGTGCTTTCCTCCCGTGGGGGCAGGGAGGCTGCTCTGGAAACAGCTTCTCAAAGCCCAGAAGCTGTATTTCCCCTTCAGCTTCATCTCCAGGCCGGGCCGGCGGGTGTGGGGGTGTGGGGGGGGGGGGGTGGGGGGGGGGGATGGTGGTGGTGTTGACCTGTGTATTCGGGTAAGACATAATCAGGGCACTCAGTAATATGTGCAATTTCCTTTGATTATGGAGTGAGAAGGAATTTGTTGTGATGATTAGAGCCGAGAAGAAACAAACAACTTGGTTGGGGCAAGAAGAGGGGTGTCATTCATCTGTGCCCAGAGGCTGAGGGGTGGGGGGTGGGCCCAGCTTTACAACTGCTTTTGTTGTTCCTGAAAATACCCGTGGGCCCTAAGGGGTCCCAAAGTGTGGGCAAGTGCCCAGCCCAGTCTGTCCCAAGGAAGGTGGGAACCCTGCCTGACAAGGGACCTCCGGCTTCTGAGCTGCTTGGGGGTGGGTGGGGGGACACGGTGGGGGGGCTGTGGTGACCAGTCACAGGGCTGCCCCTCCCCGGATGAGTGTGATGTCCAGCCTCGAGCTGGGCAGGTGTCTTACAGACTCGGGCCCCTGAGCCCCAGAACAGTCCTGCCAGGGAGCTCAGACAGTGGTCCCTTTCCAGGCAGGGACAGTGAGAATGGGTGGATTCCAAGCGCAGAGAAGGAGTGTCCCTCTCTTGAGCAGCTACGCCCTCTGCTTTCCCAGGCCACTCGGGAAGTCCTCACGTCCAGATCTTTTTTGGCCTAACACATGTCAGTGTGCAACCCGGGACCCCGGTCCTCTGAATCCCTGCTGGACCAGAGGTGGAGGTCAGAGTGTGAATACTCTCTCCCCCTGGAGGGAGCACAGGGCTGCCTCTACTCTGGAACATTCTCCCCTTCCTGGTGAGAAAAATTCTGAGCCTTCCCGGCTTTCGAAGGACTGGCCATCCCTGAGCACTCCCCTGCTAAAGAGGCAAGAATGTCAACGGGACCCGAGCCAACGCTTGCCTACGACCTGGCATGTGCGGTCGCCCCTCTCGGTGCCCTCTTCCCTCCCTCCGGCCTTCCCCAGGCTTTTCCCTGTGTGCACCCTGGACACTGACCCAGAGAGAACAGGCTAATTACCTCCATCCCTTCTTCTTGATGATGTTTCCTAATACCACTTCAGCCCTGCAAAAAAGACCAAGACATGGGCATTTCATTACAACGTGACAGAAATATTAAACCTCGCCCTCCCATGACAATTGGTCACTTGGTCCCCTCTGTGAAAATGCCACTAAGGCCGGAGGGCCAGCCTGTTAATGATGCTCATCTTGGCTCAGGCAGGAGAGAGCTTGCAAGAGGCTGTCATTTCCCATGAAGGTGGCCGTGGGTGGTGCCCCTTTGGGCGCCTGTCTCAGCAGAAGTGACTCCAGCTCTCGCAGAGAAGGGAGGAGCTGATGTCCTGCTTGGCAAGGCCAGCAGCATCCTATTTCCCTGGCCTGCTGGAAACTCACCGGGGAAAATGTTTGGCAATGTTACGTGGGCGAAGTTTCCAGAGAATTTTTTTCTAAAAGGTAAATTATTCATCAAGTGCATCCTCTCTTTTCAGAGACAATCAACATGTATTCAGGGCCAGGGGCTGAATTTCCAGCAGAGTGCGTGCATGGGTGCGTGCGCGTGTGTGTGTGTGTGTGCATGCGTGTACATTCATGTGTGTGGGTACATGCGTCTCTCTCGTTTCTTGCTTTTGAACAATAGAGAGACAGATGCCATGCTGACTGCTCTCTGTTCTTTTTGGCGTTACTCTGGCCCTGCATCAAACTCAGGCTAGCCGAGGTCATGGGCGGGCTGTTCCAGCCTTGCTTGGCACTGCAGTGCTGGATTAACTTTTAAGAACTTTCTGCTTGTAGCAAAATGTTTCTGAGCAAAAACAACAGACGGAGAATGATCCATACCCAGTGCTACATTCCAATTATAAAAGTGCCTGAGTCATCCACTCAGAAATAATGGGCTCTAATTTGCAAGCTGTTCAGCATACATTCTGAATGCTCTTCATTTATGGTCAAGATGTACAGAAATTCACTCAGCCCTGGGCCTCTTCCTTTTATTCCTTGGTCCCTCATTTGTGGGACAGAAAGATCAGGAAAGGAGGAAGGGAGAAAAGCAAGCAGTGGTCCTGGGGAGTTGTAGACAATCAGCTAACCACAGCCTGTTGCTTGTGGCTATGAATTCCTCTGGCCCTGAATTTGGTAAGCCTGACATCTGCTGGGGGGCGGGGGGGCACAGAAATCCTGCGGCTCTCTGGTAAGTGCCCAGATTAGCATCAGCATAAGAAGCAGGGGGCTCCCCAGAATATGCCCTTGGCACTCTGGTGAGCAAGAGGCACGGTGCCTGGCCCGCCGGCCACTGGAGGTGCCCTGCAGCCCCCTGCCCAGAGCTCCTCCCTGCCCGTCCCTTGGTACACAGTGTCCAGCCTCCCCTGTGGATGACTGCTAGCACCGAGGCATTGCTGGGGGTGAGTAGGCAGGTCTAGGTCCGGGCTGGACTGAGAAGGAGCCGCAGGGGCCCAAGGAGGAGTGGAGGGCGGGATGAGGGCCGTGGGCTCCAGGGGGATCAACACCCCACGGGAAGCTGCTCTCGGAGTCCTCAGCTGCTGGCGAGGCTGCCTAGTACTGATATGCCAGTCCTGGGGGTCCAGTTAATCAGGGGGAAGTGAAGATGGGCACACAGAGTGTGGACTGTGCAGGGCTGTGCACACGGGCTGGGCCGTCTGGGGCCAGAGGAGGCTGCACAGGGTTGCCTGCTGCATGTTCTCCCGGGCGGCAAAATCGAGGCAGGAGCAGGGCCAGGGAACGGGCTGGGGTGCTGAGGTCTGGGAACGCCCGTGGGCTGGGCATGTGCATTGGGCTTTTCTACCTCTGACCTTCTGACTTTAGTTCATCTGTCTGGAAAGCATTTCATTTTGATGGGAAGAGGCTCCCAGTATGGAGGGTTTGGGAGGGGGCTGTAGCATGAGGAGGGGCAGAGGGCTGCCGATAGGGACTGGAGGAAATTTGGGGCTCCCGGTGGAGGTCCCCAGAGCTGTCAGGTCCTCAGACCCTGTGACGGGACTTAAGAAAAGGCCCGGCTGGCTTCCCGATTCTCAGTGCTCCGGGCCCCATCGCAAGCTGCAGGTAAAAACCCAGAGCCTTCGAGGCAGGTGCCGGCCCCGAGGCCATGGTGCACAGCCAGCCAGGCTGCAGCCAAGCCAGCTGATGGGAACTTGGCTCGCCCCAGGCAGGAGGGACCGGAGGGAGGACGAACAGAGAGCCAACAGATGACTTCACAAACAAAAGCTGACTTTTGGAAACCCGATGCAGGAGAGTGGATGATTTGATTACAGCTAGTCTTTAAAATTGAAGCCAGCAGCCTTGGCTGAAGAGGGCTTTTACATAATTGAGGAGGGAAGTTCACTGCCAAGATGGGAAGTGCTTCCTACAGCGCTCGGCTGGCCAGACTCAGCTCTCCGCAGCTCGGGAGGCCCTGCGTTCCCTGCAGCCCTCACAGTACCATTAAGACGTGAGAATGTCAGACACGCGGGAGAGCCTGGGACCGCAGCCTGATCCGGCTCTTGCCCAGCACAGCATCTGAGGCACGGGAGGGACTGGGGTCAACTCGGTGCTCGGACACACGGGGGAGTTTAGCAAGTGGCCAGTGTCCAAGTGTCCTGCAATTTTGGCCCCATGAAAACAACACCTTCTAAAGCCATTCAGAGTTTAAAAAAGCAGGCAGAGTGCGAGGCACATTTGTGGACGCTTGGGACCAAGGAGCAGCTGCAGCTCTGGTTCTTCCCAGGGAAGCCGTGGCCTGAACCACATCGTCCCACGAGAAAAGACACGTACTTGCCCGCCGCGTACACTTCTGCAGTATCGAAGAGGTTGATGCCATTGTCATAGGCCAAGGTCATTAGCTGCTCTGCCATCTGAAATGAGAAAACCAGAGCTGTTTGCGGGCGGCACAGCCCTGCCAGGCCCGGGGGAGGCTCCAGGGCGTAATCTCGTGGCCTGGGGCGCCTCCTGCCTGTCCAGGCCCTGCACCCCGGGGCTCCCCTTGTCCTCTGCTGCCATGGGACAGACGTGGAGGCAGCCCTCCGGAGCTGTCCCACAGGGAGGAAAGAAGACAAAATGAATGAAGGAAGAGCCTCTGGGCTGTGAGTTTGATGCGAGCAGGGACCCCATCTGTTGGGTCATCACAAAGCTTAGCCTCTATACTGGGTTGAACACAGCCCCCAACAGGAGTGGGATAGATCCTGGCAGAATGAGTCCCTCCTTAAAGCTATGGCTAGGAGGTGTCCTGCAGCCGTATGTCCCCGATAGTACATAAAAGCTATGGCTAGGAGGTGTCCAGCAGCCACACGAGGAGGAGGACGAGGACGATATGATTATTGTTTGCAGATGGAGAAACTGCCATCCTCAGCGAGCACTCTGGCCGTGGCAGGCGCTTCTCCACTGCCTGGCAGGCAGAGGCTGATGAATGGTGCCCAATCGGCACATGCCTTCCACCAGATTTTGCTCCCCAGGCTGCTCTAAGAGTCTCATGCTCTACCGACTGAGCTAGCCGGGCGCTTCCAGGCTGCTCCAAGGATGAGTTTGCGCTCCACCAGCCATGACCCACTGGTAGTGGGGGTGAGGATCGAGCAGCTGGAGGAAGCGCCCCCTGCCATGAACAGCCCCTCCAAGATGCAGCAGAGATCTCTGCTGGTCCTCTGGACGGTGCAGGTGCCCCTTCGAGAGTCACAGATGCAAACTCCCCCGCTCTTCACTTCTCAAAGCTCAGCTCAGAGTGCTAAGCCTCCCTCCCTAGCTACCCAGAGTGGGGTGAGTCATACTTAACAACCCTCAAAAAACTGTGGGACGAAAAGCCAGCCATGTTTGGCTTCGTGGAGATTCTCTCAATACCAAACTCAGAAGCCCCATGGGCCAGGCAGGTATGGAGAGTGAGGCTGGTGGCCAGTGGGGACCACGGGGGTGGGGGGACCAACACTCAATCGTTACCCCTGGGAAGGCAGCTCAGCGTGGTTACATCTTTTGATTTTTCAAGAGAAGCCAGGGATCCAGGGTATTTGGATCTCCCGATTTTCAAATGCTGGCAATGAACCCCAAAGATTTCTGATACTGAGCAGGCCAAAGCTAACCCCCATTAGTTAGCAGCTGTCATTTCAGTCAGAAAGCCCAGGAGGAAGAAAGGCCACTGGTGGAGGAATTTTCTGGATCCATCTGCAGGACTGGTTGGCTCCACTGGAGCTCAAGTGTAACCATGTATCAGACGCATCCCTGCACCCTCCTCCAAGTGTAATCATGAATCAGATGCATCCATGCCCCCTCCTGGGAGCCTCTTCCTCCTCCTGTGCCCACCCTGGGGCTCCTTTTTTCCTCTCCAATGCTCCAGGCACCCCAGGCTCCTTCACCGGTTCATCTCTGTCTTCAACCTGACTTTTCAGGGATGTGTCTCACCAAGCCCCTGAGCTCTGCCCAGGAGAGCACCCCGTGCTGGGCCCCTAGCCAGGTTATACAGACGATTTAGGGGTATGTGCTGCCTCCTGGGAAGGGTTGTGGGCGGAGGTGACTCAGTACGAGGGCTTTTATTATCTTCACGTTTCAGACCCTGTGTATCTTCTTATACGCCCATCTTGCTTACCTGGAGAACAGCATGCTCTAGGTGTTCATCTGGGCTTTGCTCTTCCCACTTACACTACATCTTAGAAATCAACCCATATTCGTTCATGGAGATCTTCTTCATTCTTTTTAAAAATTGTGGTAAACCATGCATAACACAAGACTGACCATTTTAACCATTTTTAGGTGTGCATTTCTGTGGCGTTAAGGACGTTCACGCTGTGCAACCACCACAGTGCCTGTCTCCAGAACCTCTCCATCTTCCCAAACAGAAACTTGGTCCCCATGAAACACCAACTTTGCAGTCCTCCCTCCCCCAGCCCCTGGTGCCCACCCATCTGTTCTCCGTTTCTAGAATTTCGACTCCCTTGTTACCGCACCCGGGTGGCGTCATACGGTATTTGTCTTTCTGTGACTGGCTGACTTAGTGAATTTAACGTGAGGCCTTTAAGGTTCATCCACGTTGTAGTGTGTGTGAGCATTACCAGGGCTGGGTTTGGAGGGTGGTTAGGAGTTTGCCAGGCATGAGCACCCACTTGGTCCAAGCCAGAATGCCCTCAGCTGGATTTCTGTGGTAGCCCCTAACTCTCTCTGCTTCTGTCCTTGCCCCCATCACCCTACCTGGGGCAAAGTGTGGTCCACGGACCAGCAGCATCAGCGTCCGCCGTGCCTAATCCCGGGCTCTGCCCCAGGCCGGGCCCATCAGAAGCTACACATTAACTGGATTTCCAGGGAACTCGTGCATACATTCCAATTTGAGAAGCACCTCTCATCCTTGGGGGACAGCCTAACCTCAGTGGAGCAGTGAGAGTGAGCCTTTTGAGTGAAGTCAGGTCAAATTTCCTCTCTGGCTTCTATGTCACAAGTGGTCAAAGCCAAGGTCCCCACCAGATCTGCTCCCTCACCTCTGCCCCCATCTCTCAACCTGGGGCTCCTCCTGTGGCCTCTTGGAGGCTGGGTCCAGTCTAGTACCTTTGACCTGGAATGCTCTCTCTCTGAATCATCACATGGCTCACTCTTGCTTCCGTCTTCCCTGAAATGGGAGCCTGCATCCCAGTCCTCCTTTCTCTGTGTTTGATTAAATAATGGCTCCTGGAACCTCTGAATGGTTTCTTGGGTAGAAAAAGGGTCTTTGTAGATGTGATAACATGAAGGGTCTTGAGATGGGAGATGATCCTGGATTATCAGGTGGACCCTGAATGCCACCACAGGTGTCCTTATAGGAGGGAGGCAGAGAGAGATGTGACACACAGGAGCAGGAACGTGACCACGGAGGCAGACACTGAAGCGAAGTGGCCAGAAGCTGGAGGAGGCGTGGAAGAATCCCACTCTCCTTCCCCAGAGGTTCCACTGGGAGTGCGACCCTGCTGACACCTCGGTTTCAGCTCTGTGATCCTGATTTTGGACTTCTGACCTCCAGGCCTGTGAGAAAATAAATTTCTCTAGTTCTAAAACCACACAGATGGTGGCAGTTTGTTAATGCAGCCACACGGGACACGTCTAGCCCTGGGAGATAAGATGTGCGTACGGTCTGTCCCCTTCTCCAGAAAGAGAGCAGCCCACAGCAGGGATGGCAGTGCTCAGCAGGCGTGAGCTGAGCGGCCACTGTCCTTGGCTGGCTCCCCCGGCCGACCCCGCGAGGCCTGCCATGCAGGAAAGGTCAGTAGGCTCTGACACAGAGGATACCCATCCCCATTTCACCTGTCACTTAGCAGAAAGACGGAAACACGACGCTAACTACGCCAGGCCAGGGAGAAAAGAGAGTGAGGGGTGGGAATTTTCGGGGCTGTGCTTTTTATTTTATTGTTTTGCTATGATTTTGGTATAATTCCTCTTCCAGGCTTCTCTTTAAAGGTTTATTTATTTATTTTAGAGGTGGGGGGATGGAGAGAGAGTGTGTGTGTACATGTGCGAGCATGAGTGGGGGTGTGGGGGGAAGGGGCAGAGGGAGAGAGAGAATCTCAAGCAGACTCCTGGCTGAGCACGGAGCCCGACGTGGGGCTTGATCTCACGACCCTGAGATCATGACCTGAGCCCAAATCAAGAGTCAGATGCTCAACTGCCTGAGTCCCCCAGGTGCCCCCTCTTTCAGGTTTTTCTATGTGAATATATGCTTTTTCGCTGCAAGACTGCAGCCCTCACATACAGACCACTGTCGGCGCTGTTTTCCACATGCTCCCTCCTGGGCCCGTCCGCATGTCATTATTTAAAACGTGACCCCTAAAGACTTGCGCTCTGTGGGTGCGTCCTATTTGATTTGACGGAGCCTTTATTTTGAGACTGTTCAGAATTTTCCAATGTCAAAGTTCCCGAAACAAAGGCAGGAGGAACTTTAGAAGACATGTGGGCCTCCTCCCTGCTGTCCCTACTTGGGGGCCAGGGGAATCCATCCCACCCCCGAGGTGGGAGCTGGCTGTGGGCTCTGAGGCAGGCGCCGAGGTGCCATTCCCCGTTCACGGTTCTCCAGGTGAGATGCCGGGCACTTTGCTTCCTCCAAATGGAGCAATGGCCCCTGCCTCCCTGGGCTGATAGAGGGCTGAGTGCCATAACAAATGTAGTTTGTAGCTACTGTCCTTATTAGATTTCTAATGCCCAGGCTGCTCTGAGCACATGCTCTCAGGAGGAGTTTTTTTTACTTGAGTAGCCATGTGAGGTCACGAAAAGGACACTGGACTAGAGGTTGGAAACCTGACTCTGACCAGGCCAGCTCCAGCATTTGGCCACATGATCGGAGGTTTACTAACACTGTCTGCTTCCTCTGGGGCTTGGCTCTGCTCTGCCTGGCCCCCTAGGACCGTCCCCAGGGCCACAGCCCCACAGACATTTGCAGACAGAGGACAGGCAACGACCCGAGACTACACACTTTTGTCTTTGTGGGCCAGATGGTCTCTGTGGCAACTTAAAATGGAAAAGCAGCCACAGACCGTATGTAAATGAATGGGCGTCACTGCCTGCCAATAAAACTTTATTTATAAAGAGAAGGGTTGTGGAATTCATAGAGAGAGAGAGCAGAGTAGAGGTTACCAGGGGCTGGGGAGTTGTTCCCTCATGGTTACAGAGTTTTGTTTGGGGTGATGAAAACTTTTGGAGGCAGACCGTGGTGATGGCTGCACAGCAAAGAGAATATACTTAATACCATGGGACTGTACACTTAAAAATGGTTAATAGGGGGGCGCCTGGGTGGCTCAGATGGTTAAGTGTCTGCCTTCGGCTCAGGTCATGGTCCCGGAGTCCTGGGATCGAGTCCCGCATCGGGCTCCCCGCTCGGCGGGGAGTCTGCTTCTCCCTCTGCCTCTCTCTCTCTCTCTCTCTCTCTCTCATGAATAAATAAATAAAATCTTTAAAAAAAAATGGTTAATAGGGTAAATTTTACGTTATGCATTTTTTTACCACAATGGAAATGGTGAAAATAGCCAATTTTATGTCTCGTATATTTAATTAAAAGTAAAAAAAAAAAGAAAAAAGAAAAAGAAAAAGAAAAAAAACGAGGCTGGGGGCCGGATTTGGCCTGTGGACCTTTGCTCACGGACATCTGCGGAGTCCTGCCACGGACTCCCCTTTGCCACATTAAATCCACCCCGTCCTCATTTCTGTGTCTCCCTGGCATCACGGTGTCTTGCACACAAAAGGTAACCCTAAAAACAGGACTCTGTTTCTGGATTACTTGGCAGGCCACCCACCTTCCTCTGGACACGGGCTTAGCAAGGAACCTGGTGTTCCAGATGGGGCACCCATCTGGAATGCCCAGGCGGCTCGTGGCCTCCCCACTTTGGGGCAGCACATATGTTCCTCTGTGGTCCCAGGATGGTCCTGGATTCCCCGTAGTTCCAACCCTGCTGGCTTGGACAGGGCAGGCAGCCAGCTAAAGAATAAAACGTGGCTGTTCTTCATCTGAACCGTGGCGAGGTGGGCCCCTTTTTTTTGGACGCTGACTGTAGGATTTAATACGAAAATTCTGCTTGCTCCTTCGCTCAATCATTTTCACCTGCCAGGACCTTTGAGAACCCCGAGTCTGTCATCTATTGTATCTGCTGTCCTCCCAGCTTTGTGTCATCTGGAAATAACTTCTAGTATCTTCATATGTGTCACTGTCTACATGATGGAGACACGGCAGAGGCTGGAGCCACCAGGGCCACCACTGGGTCATTAATCAATACTCTTTGGGTGCAATGGATCTATTGGTGAAAAAAATCACCTAAGGTGGATGGTTACCATCCAGCCACTTCTCTGTGTCTTTCTCGCAAGGGCATCACACATAGGGTAGCGAATGCGATTTGGAAATGAAGTCATTCCTCCCCACAGCGAAGGGGAAACAGGTGAGCTGGACACTAGTGATTTTGGGTGAACCACAAAGGGCTCCGGGGCTCCAACCTTCTGTGCCAAGTGCTTGCAACCAATCTGGTGGCTAAAGGCAAAGCAATTTCCTGCACCTCAAAAACTCCTTTCTCCTGAGATAGTCCAGAGCCAGAACCTCAGAACAAGGGCAAGGCGTTCTACAACCAGCTACTGTCGTTAAAGGAAAAAGGGACAAAAGCACAAATTAAATACATTTAGATTTTGACAGAAGCAAAGCTTTTCCTTTGAAAACTAACTGAGCAATCACAGCTAACAAGGTCTCAGATGAACGCACTTATTAATTTTTAAATGCAACCTTTCCGAGAGTAAGTAGGGCAGACGTGAGGACAGCTTCGTGTGCAGATGTCCAGAGCTCTTGGAGCAAATGTCCCTGCTCTCCCTTCCCAGATAATCACTCGCTGCCCAGAAGTGCACCCCGGCCCACAGACGCTGACGACACCGCCCGGCGTGTGAAAAGAGGAACCCCAGCGAACGCACAGGGTAAACGACAGCTATGGGAAAGGAGCAGCTAGGGGCTGGGTAAAATGTAAAGCGACTCAGAATCTTCAGCTTGCAGCAAAATTTGCAGAATCTGCATCCTAAATGACCTCAGCAGACGCGTACTGAAGTTTCATATCCATGTGGGGGTACTCTGTCAGAGCAGTTTAGAAAGACACGGGGCTGTGTGATTTGGAAACGATGGCCTCCCTGGATTTTCCTGGCTAGCGAGGGACTAAGCGTTGTACAGATGAGGAACCTGAGTTTCTGGGCCTTTTGGGGACTCACGGGCGCCCCAAGGCACCCAGCTGCGAAGTGCAGGCACCAGATTTGGCATCTTTTAGCCCTGCCATGGCTCCCCCCTTACCCTTCCCGCTGCCCCAGAGGGCCACGGCACCCTTGAGGAGCAGCATGAGGGAGGCTGCGGTGGCCGCCGTGAGCACGGGCCCATGGTTCATGTGGTGGACCCTACAGGTGCCCGCCGTGGCTAGCCTTTGCTGGGACCTGGGGCCTGCGGGAGCCCCGCCTTACCTCATCGGTGATCTGGCCTCCGAAGGTCACCCATGTTCCTGGAAGGAGACACATGGGCTCAAGTCAGAGAACTTCTCCAGGGAGCTTGCCCCCCCCACAGGGTGCTTTGTCCTCAGGCTGCAGGGCCTGGGGGGCAGCCACAGCCCAGCATGCCACTCTGCTCTGCGGTGAGCACGTCCTCGGCATGTGGGGACACTTGGCCTTCAGGGCATGTCTCCCTCTCTTGGGGACACCAAACCGGGGGACAGGAAGGGCTGCAGGTGTTTGAAATGCTTGTTGGGGCTCAAGCCGATCAGCTCCTATTCTCATGACCTGCCCTAGGCAGCGGGATGAGGGATGCCTTGAAAACGGGCCAGGTCTGATAGCGATGCCCTCGCACTTGCTGGGCGTGTGTGTGTGTGTGTGTGTGTGTGTGTGTGTGCGTGTGTGGGTTGAGGGTTGAGGGCTGTGTCGGGAGCATACTGTAGGTACCATGGAGGTGGAGGGACAGTGTATGCTGAGAACAGAGCTCACATCTGGGGAAAGTCTAGATAAAAGGGCAAAATCTGACTGCCCTCTATGAGGACTCAGTCTTGTAAGGAGAGAAGATGCTCTCCAGACACACCTGGGGCCAGGGTGCTTCTCTGATTTTCTGTTGTGAGGCAGGTGTCTGTGTGTGCACAGGGCCCCTGGGACTCCCCTCCCCTCCCCCATTCCTCTCCTGGTTGCCATCCCTCCAATCCTGCTTCCATCCCCTCACCCCCAGGGCTGGCCCCTTCAGCCCTCCCAAAGCCCCTGCCTCCTTGGGTGGCTCTGGACCAAGGGGGCCCCTATACTCACCAAGCCCCAGACAGGAGACCCGCAGTCCCGACTTGCCCAAGTTCCTGGAAAACAAACTTGGTGTGAGTTCTCAGTGATTAGGACAGGACCTGCCGGCCAGGCATGGCCCCCTCCGCCCAACTGTTCCCAAAGGCCAGCCCCAAGCTTGAACCCCCCACTCTAGTCAATGTATCTTTTGAGACTCTGAAGGCAAGGGGTCCTCTGGAGAGAGGCCTGTGGCTCACATGCCCCTAGGCATAAAGAGCCAACTGTCCATTCCCCCAGCCTGCCATACCCACACCAGGGCACAGCTGTGTGGCTGGGCCACGCTGGTGAGCACGGCGGGGCCCGGAGAGCCACCTCGAAAGAGAGTAGTGGATGGGCGGACGGAGGCCTTGTGGTTCGGCCATCACGGGCCTGCTGAGGTACCTGCCAGATGAAGATCCCAAGGTCTATATGTGAAGGGGCCACAGGTCATCACTAATGTCCTTAGGAGGTCATGGAGGGTGGCAGGGCCCTGCTGAGGACTGGGATGCCCGTCTGTCCTGGCCTGTTTGTCCTGGCACAGGCTGGCCGGGGGCCTGCAGGGGCAACCGCAGGCCGGATGGTCCTCAAGCATCATGTCTTTGATCTCCCACAGCTCTGTGGGTCAGGTGCCTTCCTTTTCCCGATATTCCCATTTTACATAAGAGTACACGGGACCAGGCGCCTGGGTGGCTCAGATGGTTGAGTGTCTGCCTTTGGCTCAGGTCATGGTCCCGGGGTCCTGGGATCAAGTCCCGCATCGGGCTCCCTGCTCCTTGGGAGCCTGCTTCTCCCTCT